CTCTCTCTCTCTCTCTCTCTCTCTCTCTCTCTCTCTCTCTCTCTCTCGTTTAATTTTTGTTTCTATGAAGTACATTGTACGGAAGTTATAATTTTATCTGAGCCACTGCAGTACATTAATACCTATGCTGGAGCAGACATTACAACAGAATCAACAACGAAGCACTGCACTGTTCACAAGTTGCAGACTTGAGCCACATAGGCTAGCCAGTGAACCACCGTGAAATTACTATGATTCCGGCGCATTATAATATCGAAGTGACTATCTGAACTTTCGGGAAAATAAAGTTGAACTATATTACTCAGAACGGTTCCCGATCTCGAGATTTTTTTTTGGATTTTTTTTTGTTATTTGGGAGATTTAGGCGTCATCCTTTCATTTTGTCATTCTGCGAGGACTGGGAAGTAGCATTTTTCGCATCAAATTGAATTTCTAGAGCTAGAGATTTTTAAATGTCTGAATATTCAGTTCAGATACTTCAGCTGTGGTTGGGGCAACGTTCCCGGACTATACTTCCTTCATTTTAAAATACCTTCAAATGGTGCTGCGAGAAAACAAGACTGCTCGACCTTGGCAATAACCTATGTTGCATTTAGTCACCCAACAAAAACTAAAATCCTTCATGCAAAAAAAAAAAAATCCCTACCCCCGTTCACACACACAGAGACACACATACACGCTCTCACACACACACACACGGGCCACTCCATTCGCTTATTATCATCAAATCTCGAGAACGGAAACCGTTCGGAGAAATAGAGTTCAAGTTTATTTTCCCGAACGTTCGGAGAAATAGAGCTGGCCTTATAATATTGTAATGACAGAACCATACACCGTAAACAGCCCTACTACTGGAAGGCAAAACTGACCCAAACACCAGAAACTAGGGGAGAAGGAGATGAAATAACAGTTCAGCGTGGGGTACGTAACGTTACATACTCAGGGGCTCATCCGCACTGGCCAGGGAGCGTGTGCTGACACCAGGGCCATTGCGTCACGGCTTTTGTTCCGACGTGATTATACTGGACTACTACTACTAAATATTGAGGGTAACCAACACCCCCCCGTCCCCCATCAAACTAACGTACGTCCCTAGGACCTCTTTTTTGCTGAAAATTCTCCCTCTGCCCTTCGCTATTTCTAGATCTAGATCTAGATCTAGTCTGAGCTAGAAAATACAATAAACAAAGTTTCTGAAATGTAGGTGTCTAAATCTACCAAACAGGCTGTTTTAAATTCAACTCTTTTATACAATACAGTTACAGGATGATCAACCAACACAAAATAAAAATCCTGATATAATGGAAGTGTATTTTAATCATAATATAAGGCATTTAGGAAAATTGCAATTTGTGCAAATCCAACAATTCGTTATTTCAGTCATAGAAATGTGTAAATATAATATAACTTGTTGAAAGCAGTTTCAGGCACAAGTGCAGTTTGATATATTTTCAGAACATATAATAATCTATCTCTAGATCTACGCAGCGTAATGAAAATCAACATAAAAAGTCTAGATCTATGTTTGGCATGAATTGAAAAAGTAATTTTTAAAAAAAATCTTGAGGATTCAAGTGTAACACAGGAAACTGCCTTGGTGATGAGTATTTTACATGTTCAGCTTATAATAGTAAGGCAGTAAGGACATCAAGTGTAGTTTCTAACCATTTACGGGGAAAAAAAAGACCTACAAAAAAGTAGTTCTAGCAAAGTTGGGTCTTTTGAAGGCAAAACTTCTGTTCCTATGGTTAACAAAACTATACAGTACTAAGTAGTAAAAGTAGAATATCAGAAGTAAACTTTTTTTTTTCAAATACAATAAAATGTTGCATATTTCTAAATATTTAGTAAGACTGCTTGCTTATCCATGAACATCACATTGCTACTAGAGTATCTAGTAGATCTAATATTAGAAATAATAGGTGTGTCATTCTCTTCAAATTCATTGAGTTATTCTGTTTTGCACTTTGAAATTTTGCCAGATAGAGATTCGATAGTCCTGATACGTTATGATTCAGAGCAAAGGTTTCACGAAAACTGACAAAAGTGAAAACATCATTGGTTAACAAATAAAAATAAGAAATTAATTTCATTCGTCTATACTATGAATGAATTTTCCACATAAAGCGTCCATATCGACAAAACTACCAAGCTAGCTCTACTATCACTAACATTACAATTTACACAGGAAATTTTGATCCTAGGCCTTGATCTAGATTAGATCTAGATCTAGATCTAGGTGTCAAAATCGTGAAATGCAAAACAATTGGAGGAGATCCAAAATGATCACCAGATCTAGATCTAGATAGATCTAGCTAATATCTAGATCTAGACTCTAGTCTCTAGTATTGGGATAACTCTACAAATAGGAAATAGGCTTTGATTTTTATTAGGTTCAATTTAGACTCAAAATACAAAAAGTGTATTCCATCTCCGGATTTAAAACCTAGAAAAAAGATTAAGATGCCTGTGGTGTGTATCAAACTGGATTTTTAACTTGACTTATATGATGTTGCTGACTCGAAGAAGGGTGAAGTCTTGGTGACTCCTAGACTCTAACTTTTAACGATCCAGATCATCTAAACCTAGGCTAGTCAATACACTCAACAAATGTAACAAGACAGAAAAGGAGAAAAATTCAATAGTGCAACAACAATAAAAGTAAAATCTTATGCAGTTGCGAGCGCCGTAAAAAAGTCTGCTAAAACGAAAACTGTATTTGAGTATTTGTTGTGGTGGTCGGTGCTCATATGACTTTATGCAGTTGCGAGCGCCGTAAAAAGTCTACTAAAACGAAAACTGTGTTTCTTGTGGTGGTCGCTCGTTACGGAAGTCCTCCCCTAGATTCCTAGATCTAGATCTTTTCCCCTTTTTTTAAACTTAATGATCATAACAAGTACGAATGTGCTTTGATCTAATCGTAACAAATAATGTGCTAGATCTAGAATCTATAGGCCTACTTTTGTTTTATAGATCTATAGTCTATAGACTAGATCTAGAGACTGGGAACCTTTCATTCAAGAGGCCTCGAAATCTAGGCTAACTGTCAAATTGTATCGCACTTACAGAGTTTAGATCTAGATCTAGATCCTAGATTATCTAGATTAGTTCAACGATAATAAAGCTGAGAGTGACGGTTCTGTGGAAACTCCGTGCCCCGCCCCAAGGGTAGATCTACTTTAAAAAAACAACACGACAGCCTAGGACCTACTCAAATGAAAAACCAAACAGTGATCGGTAAGCCCGGTAATCAACATCAAAATCATCTTCTAAGTAAACGCAATCAGCGCAGATAATACAAGACCCGTATTGGCCCCAAAGAACAAAGAGAAATCAGCTGAGTGCTGTCTGCATAGAGCCGAATGGGATGTGTGTGTGTAAAGATAAGAATTGTGTCAAGTGTGTGATATTATTCTTACCAGACAACGCCGAAAGCACCATATCCAATTGGTCTGTCCGGCGTTTCTGAAGCATAGGTCACTGGACTGATGATGGAACCCGATACTGGAATAGCTAGTAGTCCAACATGCTGGTTGTTCGAGACACTTGGACTTGTGGTAGAATTATGAAAAGCCATAACATGTCGAGAACTTGCTCTCTGCCCTACCACCGCCATGGCAAAAGCCTAGCACTGCTCAGGCCGGAGTGCCCGCATCAATTTCAAAGGAGAACTCTTTCCAAGCATAAATTTGCAGCACGCAAGCTTTCGTACATCCAGATACACTTTTGCTGGAATGGGTGGTAAATGGAAAGCTGCAGATAAACACAAGAAGCAGCTCCAACAGCTGAATGAATCGAACAAGATACCGCCGACACAGCCTGACTCACACGCGACCAAGCAAGCACACAAAGAAGTCACGTGACAACGCCTTACACATTTCCCATAATGCAATATGTAACTAAGATTTTTCTTTATTCCAGTTTTTAGAAATACATCTATGAATATAATTTAAATAAAGACTTCAGATTTCTTCGTTCGCTCTCCTCATGTGTACCGAACAAGACTCTACGAGACAATGACAAAGGTATCTCTATTTGGCCTACACCCTTCCCCCTTTTTTTTGTTACAGCGCCGTGTCGGCGAGAACCGTGTCACAGCTGATAGACGCAGCAAGCCCCGCCCCCTTTAGCGGGCGGGCACAGAAAAACGAGTCGCGAGCGGTGAGTCGGCCACCGTGGCCCCTTTTTCTGGCCGCGTCTTGCTCCAGTTTTCAATCTGCGCGATGATTGGTTCACCCTAATCAATAGAAGATAGTGTTACAACGATTGACCTGTATTGCCGACACTTCTTTGTGGATCACACCTTTATCATTACCCAGTGCCCGAATTTACACTAAATACTGCCAAATGTATGTTTATTGGAAGTTCCGACCCCGTGGTGAAATTTAAAAATAACAAACATCACAGGGGGAGGGGGGCAAGAAGAAGAGATGGAGAGGAGAAAGAAAGTATTTGATTTTCATAGAAATGTAGAATCTGACAAAATAAAGTGCCTGACGAAATGGTGACAAAAATAATTCAGAGAAACAACAGAGAAAAGAAAACTAGAATGCATAGCTGCCCCTCGCCTGTCGCCAGATATAATGATCAAGATGTTAAAAAGAACTGCAAAAGCGACACTTTTTAATATCGCTATTGTTACTGTCGCTGTCATCATCATCATCATCATCATCATCATCATCATCATCATCATTTTTACAACTACTGAGAAACAAATGCACTCACACGAAGATTTTGCTCCATTTCATAATGTTTTATAGCTCATTTTCAACTTGCATTATCTTTATATAGGCTATGCCCTGTCAATGGCGGTGGGTGGATCAAAATGTGAGCGTGGTTCAGAAATAAGGGTAGTTGAGTTCAGTTCAAGTGTAAGATTTCCTCGGTTCAGAGGAAAGGCAAGATACGTGTGTATGTTTAAATAGTTTAATGTTTACGTATGGGGTGGAAGTTCATGACACACTTTCCGAACAGAGTACAGACCCAGTAACGAACACACCCAATGGACCCTCATTTTGCTTTCTACAACTGTACGCTCACATACTCAAGGCTTGCAGAGCATGAACCCTTTCTTCAACGAATTTTGAGTTATCTATTTATTTATTTATT